TAATAATATTCAGCTTAGTAGCTCCAAAGTTATGCAACTGTTTGCTTGAAGATGTTAAGAGCACAGTCCTTCATTCTTTACATATGGAAAACTTAATTGGCAATTGGAGGTTTCAATATTCACAGAATATGTCCCTATGAAATATATTCCTCAATTTACAAGATAGGGGAACAGAAAAGGTGAGTTGCTGAGAACCTCCTCTAAGCCTAGGACAGGTGAAAGCACAGAGCACCTTGAAGAATTAAGCCCACAAAGGTCATGTGTCTATTTTAGACTAGTGTGGAAGCTTAAGGCTCTCCATAGGAATGTGCATAATCCTACCACTCAGGACTTGCTCATCCTCTTTGGTTCTCACCGGCCATGCCTTCCTTTGATGTTAACAGAAAATCCAAAGGGAAAAGTAAATACTGGGAGGCAAATTGCTGTTTCTCAATAGAATTCCTCCATCCACCCAGCTATTTACGGTACAATTTCTGAATTATCATCAATCTTGCTATATCCACACAGTCTGGAAAATGCCGCCAAATGGCCGCTTGAGCGGGTTAAGACCCATCCCACAGTACTGAGGCATTTACTCTTGCAAACCCTTTGCCTAAGGCCAAACTCAAGCTTACATGCCTTCAAACTCTCAAAAAGGAAGACTTCCTTCCACCCCCACTAGGGATTATCTTCTCCTTCCTCTTTCACTAGTAGTAAGAACAATATTGAAGCTTCATTTCCACTCCGTCCTACTTCAGAGGTCCTCCTGGAGCACCACAGCCAGCTCATTCAGTGCCCTGGCTGGCTCTGCATTCTCTTGTGAAGGCAAGCCCCTTCTCTCCACAGGGCAGCTCTCTCTAGCTGGCCCCTTCTTATCTTCCGTTTAGGCTAAGAACATGGCACATCTCACTCACCAGCTAAGGCCCTCGCACAACCTCCAAAGCATCATTCTAGCGTTGGATCTCCCTCAGGTAAATTTTGTCATTGCCGGTCTTCCTCCACCAGCTCCACTGATCCCAGCTTGGGTTGGGTAATCATTGTACCTCCATGCAGCTGCATGAGCTCCTGCTCCCATGACTCCCCTCTCCAGGGAAAGATAACTCATTCGGCTTCAGAATTTTAACTTCCAGGTCAGAGGTTAAAGCCTATCCGTTGATTTCCCTTGCACCTGCCCTTCCTCCCAGGGCAGTCAGCAGGATCAGTTAAAGCTGAATGTTGGTTTCCCATAGTTTATTAGGGTCTCAACTGGCAGGTGAGGGACTCCCCATCTGCAGTTCTCTTGTCTGCTTTGTGCTTTGGGACAGGGCATGACTTCTGCCCTGCCACAGTTAGGCTACATTCATATATAATCAGTTTCTCTATTACAACCCCTAGAACAGTTGGAAAGATCTATTTATTACAAGCCCTTTTAGTTTATATTAATAGAGCTCAGTACTAAATCTGTCTACTGATATTCACAGTGGTAGTATGGCACAAAAGAAAGCAACTTTTCTGGTGGGTAGATGAAGAGGAACAGTTCAAACACCAATAAATATAAGGAAAAGTGACCTTCGTGGCTTTCTTTGATAGCTTAAAAAGTGCTTTTAGTATAAGTCAGTATTGTCAAAGGTATGTTTCAATAAAAGTAGACTGACACAAGTTAGGACTAACACTGAAGAATTCTAGAGTTAAAATAAAGCTCTCAGGTCAAAAGGTTTTTTTCCCAGTGAAGATTTAAAATGAGTGTATCACTTTTGTGTCCCAGCAGGAAGTGAATAATGTTTTGTGCGCAATGTTTCCAGCTGCCTATGTGGTAAAACTGAAATGCCCTGTACATATAATGAAAATGAGAGAATGAAAACTTTTTTTGCAATATATTAATGAAAGAGAGAGTATGGTACAAAGGTCCACAATTTTGAGATTTTTCATACAAAATACTTTTACTTTTTGTAAACTAAAAAGATCAAGTGAGACATTTTATTAGTATGAAGGAACTGGAAGGTTTATGCAAGACAGGGTAAGATAAGTTCATTTCTTATAGAAATGTCCTGAATTTCAAAAGTGCTCAGCAATTAGCAATTCTGTGATTTCGCTGCCAGATAGACTGTACCTTACTCAGAGTCACCTGAATGGCATTCCCATAAAGATGCTAAAAAAGGGACACACAGATCAAAGACATCCAAATAAAGGCATGACATTTATGATAAAAGATTCTCTTCATTGACCAGGATTCAGGAAACCATTGAAGCCACATTTTGGAAAAATGTAGCTATGAGCCTGGGTGGCTGTGGTATTTACATACAACATTGAAGAATTTTAGTTTTGAAATGCTACATTTTTTTTATTACTTTAATTGAAGATCAGAGACTGTGATCAATTTTGTGATGCTTTTACCTCATTGATCATTTATTTATAAATATACATATTTTCAGCCTCTGAGTAAAGTTTATGATGTTTTCAGTATATGGTGAAAATGAAATAGTTCTGCCAGACTATAATATATTGTAAAACTGAGGGACAGAGTGACATTGGGCATGCCTACATGTGCCCCTACAATGCTGTTGTTACTGCGCCATCATTTAGTACTTCCTTACTGCACCATGCCTGTGGTGCACAGTTATTTTTAGCCCCTATGTCACTGTAGCAAGATACTATACGGAGGGAGCACATAACTACTGCAGTGTAGCTGTGACATCACAGTTTGTGCCTGCTGATGCTACGTTGCCATAGCACGGTGCTACAGTGACATAGTGTCACGTGGAGATGCACCCATTAAAATATCAGAAATATATAATAGCTCATCACTGCTTTAAAATGGTGGGAGTGTTATACTGCCAAATATTATTATCTAGTGATATAACTTATTTTCATGAAATAAGTTTACCATAGAAAGTTAACAATCTCAGATAAAGATTACCTTAGACAAAAGATCATGCAGCTTACTTTAAGTCACATGACAGTAGATCAGATTCCTGGGATCCAGGGGCTGCACCAGGAACATGATCTAAGTAAGTCAAAATAACGGGAAAGGAGGGCAGGATCAGGGGGACACTAGTGGTTGTGCAGAGAGCTTTGGGAGGAGCTAACAGGTCCTTGCAGGTGGTTGGTGGGTGTTTTTGGAGGGTTGTCTGTACAAGAATGGGGGCCAGAGGGTGAAAAACAGTGGGCATTTGTACATGTGCTCCAGGAGTGGGGGCGGGGCACTTTAACTAGAGTGGCTCTGAGAGCCGCTCTAATTAAAGACCCCAGAGTGTCTCTTGTATCAGCATCAAAATGATGGCAGGGACACGTTATCTAATGCTCTTTCAGTGAGCTTTAGATAAAAACGTCCCCACTGCCATTTTGAAGTGCAGGGGCACTGATACATGAGATGCTTTGAAAAAGCTTTCAAATTCTTTGAAAAAAATTATCAAGGCTCACATTTGCGAGAGCCCAGCAGGAAATTATGCTGAGGGGAAACCTGCACAGGTTTGTAGCACGTAGATCATGCCTGACTAATCTAGTCTCTTTTTATGACCAGTTACAAAACACCTGGATGCAGGAGGAAGGGTAGACATCATTTACTTAGAATTCAGGAAGGCCTTTGATACAGTATCCCACACCATACTGGTGAACAAGTTAAGAGGCTGTGACTTGGATGGCTACACAGTCCTGTGGGTGGCAAATTGGCTAGAGGGTCATACCTGGAGAGTTGTAGTAGATGGGTCGGTATCAACCTGGAAGGGTGTGGGCAGTGGGGTCCCGCAGGGCTTGGTCCTTGGACTGATACTCTTCAATGTATTCATCAGTGACTTGGACGAGGGAGTGAAGTGTACTCTGTACAAGTTTGCGGATGACACAAAACTGTGGGGAGAAGTGGGCACACCGGAGGGCAGGGAACAACTACAAGCAGACCTGGACAGGTTGGACATATGGGCA